GTGCGGCGGATACTACCTATGTGGTCTCCTCCTTGCTAATATATGACATAACTGTTGAAAAAGTAAGGTGCAGCTAACGCAAAAGCCGAGCAAAAATTAGATTTAGTTAAATTATATATCATTCGATAGAACTCGTGACGTTGGTTGAGAATAAATAGTTTTTATTCGTTTAACCTTGCTTCGGGCAAGAAATTAAAAAAACCAAAGCTTCTTAACAGAAACAAAAAATAGCTATTTGCCATGGAAATCATGGATTACTCAAAGTGGCACTGACTATTTTCCACTGAAACTGTTTTATGCGAATTCAGCGTAAAAAGCTGTGCTAATTAGATGAGTTTGATGAAATTTCATTACCCTAGTTCGATTCGATTAATTTCACAAGAGTCACTATTAACCAGACCGATTCATCCATCTTGTTAATGTATCTCCTTTGCTACGAGGGTGGAGTGTGGGTGTAGATGAAGAGAAGAAACACAACCATAAATACACCAGACTCTCTGTCGGCAGCATATTAGTTTTAATTCATTTCATATAAGATTGTCCAGTAATAAAGACCGAATGTTGCTTTACTTTACTCCACTATTACTTAAACCTTCCATATCAATTAACTCTTCAGGCTTTCATATTATACAGGCTTAAATAAAATATATTCAAGCTAGCATGCTCTTGCCACACGTTGATGATAGAATGGAAACAGCTACGAAGTTCTACAACATCGCTTTGACGAAAATACATAATATAAATAATACAAAAAAAGAAGTTAATATGTAATGAAGTATAATGTAGAACCGTAGTGCTATTTTATTCCGATCTTATTTCAATTCTCATTTATAGAAATAGGGTGTGGGTTAGAGATTCAATTATTATCTCATCCACACTCACACCCACACCCAAAATAATCCAATTCAACAATATTAAGAATAAAAGAAAAAAGTTATCTATTAATTGTACGTAAATGAAAATTTATCTGCTATATTGTGCATGAAATCTGACAATTTCTTTGAATAAGATTGTACAGATCTGAATTTCTTCTGTTTTTTTCATTAAATATTCATTTAATATTAGGAGAATAGTTGAAAAACCTATTCTCTGTACATCTATTATTGTCGAGTTTGTTCATAATACAGACAAAAGAATAATTATAAACAAAAAGAAAAACGAACATTCTACATTTCCTACATCGAATGTAATATTCATTCATAATAAAAGATTAGTTTGAACAATATTAGACCTATGCTAAATAAATTTAAGATTCAATTGTAATTCATTGACCTTTTTCTCCTTCATACAATCCGGCACAGAATTGCATATCAATATTATTGATTGAACCAGAACAGTTTGGATCGTGATTGACTATTGCATAAACTTGAACTTGTTGGAGATGATCGGCTGATTCTGAACTTTCTGAAGTCATTGTACCCCAACCAATCGTAACAAGATGCGTGTCATTCTTTGGATATTGCCTAATAGAAAATGATGGATCGACACGATGTACACACGTTTTAGCCAACATCTCATTGTGATGAAATATAAAGGGACGGTCAATATACAATAAAGCAATATCATTACGAAAGTCATTGATGAAGTGAGTATAGTTTGGATGTAGATAGATACGAGAGACATTCTGCTCGTAGACAATCCGATCTGATTGATTTGTCATATCTGCAGCCACACTCATCATGCTTGACCATTCTACATATTTCCATACACAATGAGCTGTAGTAAGAATATGGGTGTGGGTGTGGGTGGGGTGAGGGCGTGGGTATGGATGTTGGTGTAGGTAAATAGATCAGCATACCCACACCCACATCCACACCACCCACACCCGAGCCCACACACCCACACCTACACCCATCTCACATCCACCCACACCCACACCCACATCCTAGTTATGGGCACCTCAGATATATAGCCTATGATGACTTGTGGGTACCCCATCATATAGCCTATGAAGGATTTTGGGTACCTCGTTAATAGTCCATGAACAATATAGAAACCTAATAGGATAGTCCATTGGTAGTGCAGAAGCAACTCTTACACTCACATGAGCGTGAGTTGTACACCCTTAACCATTCCGCTTTTTAATACAGGAGCAGACAAATGAACTTTTCCACACTGAAATTTTAGAAAAGTTTTTACTAAAATGAAGTAAGTTCTGCAATCTGAAACATTATAAGTTTATTGTATTAACAACACTTTTACATATCGGAGCTAACCACATTCGAATTATCATTCAGCCTAAAGTACTTCTGTGCAATTCGCAAAACAGTCTTTCAAAACTATCGTAAATGGAATTTTCGTATTCGATCAATTCAAGTTCATTTGGCCATGCAGATTTTAGTTTTTGTTGTACATGATTAAAAGTCGTTGCTTCGGCCAAGGCCACTTCTTGAGTTGATTGATTGTAGGAATAAGTACCAGGTGGTGACCGAGACTCTGATTTTGTACCTTCAGCATACGTAATATTTATACTATACTCCCCATGTGAATTTCGTTGACATAAGAGTTTACCAAAGCAAAACGTGTAAAGGTTCCGTCCAGGATGGACTGGTTGAAAAAAAGAAAGTTCAATTGATTCACCACCGATTTCATCAGATTGATATCGATAACGTTGGCGCAGAATGTTATCTCTTGACGGACGTCGAATAAACTCTCTGATTGCTCTAGTGCACATGTTTCGAAAATGGTCTCTCTCTATTGTATTAACATGTTGCAGTAGTTCATTCGCAGTCACTTTAAAAACGCATATATGTGTCAAACTTGTACTCGACTGACTTCGTAATAGTGCAATCATAGGAGTAACGTAGCGATTAACAAAGAACCTATTGTCGGCATAGCCATTAGTTGCTGGATGTGGTATCCTGCGAATGCAGTCCAGATTAAAAACTTTCAGTGACCTTTTGTTTCTGGCTAAACAGAAAGTTAGAAAATGCTCTCTTAGCATCACAAGAGCCTGAATACAAGTGAAACCCGTTTTCCTCACTAGCTTCAAGAAAGCAAGACTTTTATTTACCTTCTGATCGTGTTCGTAAAATTTCCTTAGTTCTGAGAAATTCTTCAATTCTTCTTTGTAGTTCATGGTTGAGCAATTTATAGGTCGGTACAACGTCTCCGTATTCAATAACACGCCATGTCAAATAGTTTTCAACACTCGCACTCCACTCTCCTATATTTCGCCCAATTAATGTATTGCCTCCAGTGGTCTCGCAGACTTTGTCTGACCATTGTACTGTGGAACGGTTGCTATTCTGATCATTCAAACTAATACCCCCGCCAGCTCCTCCATTGTACAATCCGATACCAACTTTGAATGCTGCTTCTACGCTATTCTTATGTCCAGTTTCATCCAGGTTTGCATTTACTGTCTGGGTATCTGTATGAAACAATTGTCCACCAAGAATAACACTTTTCGGATAACATTGTCCGTATTTTTGAAACACAGTTTGTAGTGTCGTGTCTTGTTCCTGTATGGTGGGTAAGTCTAGTGCTCTTTCCACTGATTGTTGGAATTCTTCGGTAGGCGTCAGATATTGACGATGTTCTTCGTCATCATACAGGTACAGTTCAACTCGTGGAAAGTTCCACGCACAAGTTGTATGTAATGTCTTTGTCTCACTTGCTTCAGTTTGCTGGTAATTATTAGTAAAATCTGTAGCTAATGTAAGAAATGGAGACTTAAAACTGGCATCTAGTTTTATAAGTTTATTACGTATAAATATATTATGACGCTCACTATTAGCTAGATATGCATGCACTTGAGATGTATCACGTATATTAAAATCTGATGTTGTCAAATTTTGATTTAACTGACAAACCGGGTAGCGACTTGCTTTTGGCATGCCATCATCAAACTGGAGACCTTTAAAAAGATTACAGTTGTGAAATATTTGCCTCCATTTAATGAGGTCGAATTCTGAGAGACAACTCTGGTGCTCTCGAGATGAAGCTGATGAGGGTGCGCTGTCTGGTATAGTTGCTGGATGTAACGCTGCGCTAAAGGATGGAAACGCTCCAAAGTTTTCAGTTGTAGCAGATGAAAAATTTCGTAGAGGCAATTGTCCCAATGAGTTATTATTCGAGTCAGATTCTTCCATAGCTTGCAGGACAACTACACCATCTTTCAACAAATTTGCAATTAATGTAGTTGCTTCGTCTCTACTCGCTATAGGATATTTGTCAACATTTAAAAATAGCTGTTGCCTTCTGATTGGCCGACGTTCGTTGATAGCTGCCCGAAGAGTGGACACTGATAAGTTTTGGTCAATGGGTACGGAGATAAAAGGGTCCTCGCCTACTTTTACAAAAATTGTTTGGGGTTGTGTCGCATTTGCCATTCAAAAAGAACAGTTGTGTGTGATGATTATGCAGTGTTACGAGCATCATAAATTTGCAGTTTTTATATTTCTCGTGTTTCTATTAATGGTTGAAAAAATCATGAGGTATAGAACGCAAATATTTGTGAATAATTTCTCTCTAGACAAGACTAATCACTTTATCGCAATGATATTTTTATCGTTGTAACTCACCTTTACCAAATTTCGTTGTTTGAATTCAATTATATGTATTATTCATCCTTTTTAAAAGAAGTAACATGATACCTTTGTGTTCTTTTTCTTTTCTTTCTCTTCCATTCTAAAGTAATTTTTCACATGTCGATTAAGGCCCCCCCCCTCCCCCTCAGAAACGAACTTTGTTATTTTCTCATCCGATTTCAACCAAAATTTCAGAGAATGGTAGTCTTGACTAGAATAGCTTATGGTTAAAATATCTCCCTCAAATCTTAAAGATATGCACAAGTTCCAGTCAATTCATTACCATTTATGCGGGGAAGGTTTTCACAATGGGGTTACTAGCTAATCATGTCGGGGTGGTTTTTAAATTGTAGAGTGACCTTAGGGCTAGATCCTCACAGGCTCCGATTTTTGAATTTTCCTTTGTTTGATTTTTAAAAATACTTTTTCGAAAAATGTTCAAATTCAAAGTGCTAATAAATATGAAATATCTGAGTTTTTTATTTCAGCAAAAGAGAAATTCAAAAATCGGAGCCTGTGTGGATCTAGCCCTAACTGTCCTCTATTCAACAAAAAAAAATTATCCCTTCTCTATTGAGTCATTATTAAGAAATCCTTCCCTGCGTAAACAGTAAACTCGAAAAAATTTATTTTGAGAAAAACGAAAAACAAATTTAGAAATGGATTTTTTTATTCAAGCTCAAAAAACAATATATGAAAATAGCATATTTCAGAATTTTGTCGATGTTTAAAACAAAAAGTGTAACTATAAAATAAGTGGCATTATACAAATTGTAGAGCTTTTCACGCTGCATCTTCTGGTATATTTTGTTTTGTTTTAATACAATGTATTAAAATAGAAAAGCAACGTTTTTCCGTTTTTGAAAGGCTTTCGAAAATGTCTCGAAAAACATGATAGTAGGTCCCCAATCTCCTTTGGTAAGTGTATTAAAACCTGGCCTTTTTGGAAAAAAGGCATATATTTTCTGACAGAGGAGGCTTCGGCGCATCTTCCTATGATAAAATCTCAACTTCGAGTTTTCTTCGAAAAAATATGTTTGCTGAGAGGGGGCCCCCTTAAAGACATCAATACTAAAAACTAGCTTCTTGCGAAAAAAGCGATCTTTCCCGTGGTTATGAGTTCTGTATGGTGGAGTGAGTCTCATTACCATTATCATGATTTTGTACCGGTTAGGGGACTCTTCAGACGGTTTGTGTAGCATACCTGTTCGAATCATCAGAAACGATCCCAAACAAGGTATATAACGTATTCCCATTCAAGTAATTTCCAAGAAATTACCGAAAGGATAGGTAGCGTGTAATAGGGATGAATCTAACTACCGTTATCATGATCGCGTCCCTGCTAGAAGACTTTTCAGACGGCTTTGATATTATGCTTGTTCAGGAATGATCCGAAGACCATTAATATGGATCTTGGGTGTGGGCGTGGGTGTGGAGTGTGGAGTATGGGCGTGGGTGTGGAGTGTGGAGTGTGAAGTATGGGTGTGGAGTGTGGAGTGTGGAGTATGGGTGTGGGTGTGGATGTGAGTGTGGATGGGTGTGAGGGCGGGTTTGGCTGTGATTTTCTATTCGCTTACGCCTACACGCACCCGCACCCGCACCCACACCCACACTCCATCTAATTGGTTAATTTTTTGGGTGCTCAGGCCTGAGCAATCGACTTCTTAAGGGCACTGAAACGTGATCGGCTGATTTTCAAGAGCGCTAAAAACTGATTCGTCGACTTTTTAGCATTCTGAAATCCGATTGGTCTATTTTTGGGCCAATAAGATTCAAGAACAAAATTTTTCACTTATTAGTCGGAGAAAACAGGGGGAGGTCACTAGGCTCATTTGAAAGAGGACCATCGATAAACTCTAGATTGGCCTCACAATGACTATGTTTCATCTAAGTAATAGTAAAGAAAACACTTGCTAAAATCTTTTTGGTCTATTTGTTTAACCAATCAGAATCCGCACAAATGGACTGGCAAGTCCTGTTAGTATACTCATCCTTTCAGGATGGAGAATAAAAACCCATTAGTTTATTAAAAAGGCCTCCCATTCGCTAAAAAATTCAAACTTCAAAATTTTAAAAAGACTAATGTTAGATTCGGATTCCTCATCTCCGAAAACCTATTGGTCGAAATTCATATACATCTTTTAAGTCGATGTTTTTTTGACCTTGGATCTTCGACCTGCGACATACAGACACACAAACGCATTTCGCTTTTTCTTCGTATCACCTCTCTTCCAGTTGAGGGAATAGAGTTTCTTGTTATATAACTTTACTTTGATGTATGCAAGAGCATAAATCAATAAAAAAAATGCTTGCACCATATTTACGTCACATGATATTGCTTTCATGTAAAAAAAACCATACAAAACGTTTTCGCCGAGCCAAATAGTCAACTATAACTTTTCTTGTCAATGGATGTATTTGCGCAAATAGAAGAAAGAAGTAAAGGATTTCATAACGAAAAGAGAAGAAAAAATTTCTTGTTCCATTTTCTGTCTCCTTTTTTGTATGCATACAACTTCTAGAAGGTAATGGAAATATTTACTGAGTTTATTAGAGACAACTGATATTTCATTTTTATTTTATTTCTTCTACCTGTGTATATGACGGAGCGTTTTGAGAGAAAGTCTTGAAAATTTTCAAAGATGGCTAATGATAATGGTGATGGAGACAAATGGTATAAAACTATACCTGTTATCGGCGAAATCGATAGTTGGACAAATGATGACTCATGGCAAGATCGTGCCTTCCATAAATTCAAACGTTGCATTACTCTTACGTTGATTGGTTTGGATGTAGCAGCATTTTACTTATCAAAACGCTGGGGTATTGCATCTACCGTAGTGTCAAATCTGATCTGGCAAAAGGACTGGGATCAATTAAGAAGTTATTTTAATAAAATGACTGATGAGGATGCTAAAGCAACTTACCTGTGGTTACATGCATGGAGCCCTTGCGGTTAAATTTTTTTTCTGTACTATGTAAGTTTCAAATAAACATCGAACAATATAGTTGAGGCGTACGCCGCATTTCTAAAGCTCCTTTTTTCAGAAATCTGAACTTGTGCTCCGATCATTATAGTTGTTTATATTCATTGAAATGCGTTTGTGATGAGATATTTAGATGCTACAGTGTGTTTGTAAATACCAGTTTCTTTAAACATTTGGTATTAGGCTTTGTTCACGGACAGATGCGTGCCATTCACAATATTCAATTTTTGCGGCCCTTTCGAACAATTATTATTGATAGAGTCGAAAACTTCATGTTCAGAAATTATTCAGGATAATACCATGTCCAATAACCACAGCACGACAAGAAAATGAAGTGAAATTGAATGAAAGGGTGTGGGGTGGGAGTGGGGATGGGGGTGGGTGTGGATGTGGAAAGAAAAACAATCTAACACCCCACATCCACATCCACACCCACACTCAACCAGGTTCAATGATCGAAACGTACAACTTTCAGACAGGGTGTGGGTGTGGATGGGTGTGCGTGGCTGGGTGTGGGTGTGAGTGGGTGTACGTGGCTGGGTGTGGGTGTGGGTGTGGGTATAACTCTTCTCTACACGTATACCCACACCCACACACCCACACCAGCATAAAAATCACCAAAACCACCTGAGGCTAGTTTGTGTGCGATTAAATATCAAGCACGCAATGATTCAACAACAGCTAAAAGTACAAAGAAAACTTATTTAGACATACAAAAAATGAAAATGGTTTCTTCAAAAAGAAATATTGGAAGTGAAAAAGAAAAATAAATAAAATAATTTACTCAGAACAATCAGAAACAATAACTTGATTTGGTTTATCATTTGGTTTAATATGACCATAACCTTTTTCTTGGTCAAATTCCTCGATCACACCTACACCTCTACAATAAGAATAATGTTTCATGGATCGAATATTGAATGAATATCTTACTTATCACCAACTTCAAGAGCAGTTGTTCATCCATAAATAATTCTTGATTCATTTTCAAATTCAACATTAATATCAATATTTTTAAGATAAGTTATAATTAAATTTATAATAAACACTTCCAATAACGCATTATCATGATATTTCTTTGCCCAAGTTATGATTCTTTCACCAAAACTGCCAGTTTCTCTCATCGTTTCATAAACTTTAACATGTGATTTAAATTACTCGAGCCTTTGTTCCAAGGAAGAGACCTAAATAAAAATATTTGTTTGAAACAAATAGTTAGAAATTAGCCTTACATCAGGTTTTGCTGGAAATAATCTCTTTACAAACTTGTGTCGCATCGATTGCATCATATAATGATTTTGTGACTGACTAAATAGAAAAACATCCAAAATATATTATAACAGAGAGAGAGAAAGAGGGAGAGAGAATGGTTAAAAACAAAGATTAGATGTATCTATTCTGAATGTAGAACATTCTAGAAGTCAAAGACGTTAATTCTGACTATGATTAGCTTGTAAAACACGCATGCACAAGCAACACAAGAAAGAGAGAGAGAGACAATGTATCAGACGCAGTTATGAAGAACGTATGAATAAAACAAACGAAATCTTTAAATAATAAGAGAAAAAAAACATCTATGCAATAGGCTCTCAACCGAATAGAAATATTTCATTTTTTTTATCAAGTATAATCGGGCATCGACCTTTGTTGATATTCGGATGCAAGTAAAACTGGTTGCTGTCTTTGGAAAACGCTTCTTTCGTGAGACTTGCAGACAATAATGTCCAGCTACAAGCAAAGCTTCTCTCATAGTTTCAGATCGATTTATTGTTGAATTACTCAGTTATGCTCTAGAAAGTACAAAAGGGAGTTTTTCAACCTTCGAATAGTCACAGTAAAGTTCCCATAGTTCTAGTAAGAATTTATGGATTTCGATGAAATTAATAGCGTAGATAGCTAGAGTATAGCCGTGAATAATAAGGAATCAACTGACCTATAAGACCTTTTCTTTTCCGAAATACGAAGTTCAAAGGAAAAAATAAATGCTATCCATTATTATCTGCCATAATTCTCGTCATATCTTAGCAATCAGAGCAAGTTCATGGTTCTGATCTACATTCTTGGTGGATTATATGCACACAAATTTTCAGACCTCCAGTGCCTGTGGTAGCTGAGATCTGGATGAGTGGAGATTTTTGTCCGGTACTGTATTAGCATAAGCTAGATTATTAGGCATCATTTATGGTGTTTGTTGATATGTTGAAGTATTAATTGTTGATAATGCTCGATTAAATTTAGTTCTAACTAAAAGAGGATTTTCATTATATGTAATATTGCCTGTTGTTGGTATCGATGTACGATGTAATTCAATAGGTCCAAATGGTTATTGCTGTTGTTGTTCTAATGAAGGGTGTGGGTGTGGGTAAATAGGTCAGCACATTCACACACACCCACACCCACACCCACACCCATACCCACACTTACACTCACACCCACACCCACACCCACACCCACACCCACACCCACACGACACCCACACGACACCCACACCCACACCCACACCACACCCACACCCACACCCACACCCATCTTATTCTATACTTTAAAAATTTCTACTTTGAACAGAAAGGTATAATGTCTTGATTTTATTCCTTGAGAATTTGGATCTTTTAGACTTATATCTAGTGTCGCTTGATAAGATTATGTCAGCAATAACGAAATACCTGGTATTGTGGTAGCTATACTCACCCACTCACCCTCAAGCAATGTTGATGTTGATCCAAAACATATATCAGATAGATGTGAGTGTGCTACAGCTCATTATCATTCATTCTACAATCCACATTGTTTATTTGAACTTGAAATTCGTTGGCTTGTTGCAACATCATGCATACTTGGTGATTTAATTACACAATGGTCACAACGTACAGGAACCATACTTGGATCAAAGCAAGTAGCTTTTCATCTCGTACCGATTCCGTGTGACCCATTTGCTGAATGCGATGCACTAAGAGATATCAAACAAAAGAAATAAAAAGCATTCTGAATTCATTATGTTTTTTAGGTCCTATTTATATCAAACTCAATTCATCGTTTCTACATGATAAACTTGCTCATTTGCCCGTAACAAATCAAATTCATCGAATAAATATTTTTCAAGAACTCTTCTTAAAATGGTTTGTCTTATTCATGCTTATAGTGAATAAAGAAACGATACAGTTTGATCAATCAAGCAAAAAATCGAAGTCGATTTTTGAAAATCTCACAGCCAGGCCACTTTTAAGAATATTCTATTCATATTCGTTTGTTTTCATGATCAATTAGTAAATGCGCCGACGAATAGATTGAAACAAATATTCTTCGATCAAAACAAATTCATTTTTATGTGAGTCTTTGCAAATTTCGTTCATCGAAACAGCATTGAAAAATTCGACGACATTTCATAGTGTCGACGTCAATTTCGATAATTTCTTTATTAATCAAAACATTTTTCTTTTTTCTTTCTTTTCAGCTACGGTTTTATTTTGAATGCTTGTGTTAGTTATGAAGATGAAAAAGTATATTATGTTCATATTAGTGATGGAATGTTGGTGTATATTATATCTGATGTTTACAATGTTCATTACAACAGTCAAACAACACGTATCATACGATAAGGATCTACAACCGACAATCAATTGTCACCATTAGATTGTGGCTTTTATTGGTGTTGGAATTTTTGTTTAGGAAAAAAATGGCGAAGTTCACAAACCGGTGAAGAAAAATATCAAGATATAATGTTAGCAGATTTTCGGGCATTTTGTGATAATGAAAACAATCGTTTATTTAATTTCTGGAACGAAATCAATGAAATAGCAAATAAGAAAATGCTCGAAAAGGAACAAGATGTCTGTAATGAAGATTTGGTGAATAGGTCAAAGATCTAGTCTATTTTTGCATATTTTTAAGTTTACTCGGTGTTGTATGACAGTGATTATTGTAGATTTTAACTTTTGTGATGGAAAAAAAAAAGAAAGAGTTATATGTAAGTTTAGCTTATAAATATATATACATGAATTCTTATCTATACAAAACAAAAAAGGAAAACATCTGCAAAATTGATTTCATAATTGAAAACGATGTACACTATTCATTCAAGGGTGTTTATATTGATCAAATAAAAGCTGTTTCTTCTCGTTCATTTGATTGATATGGCTGATATATGCACTTGTAAACGAACATCTTTATGGTTAAAATTTGAAATTCTCTGTGTATTTTCTAAGCATTTACTACGTTCACTAGATTATATTTGGTAATAATCAGTCATCCATGAAACTATTTATTTAATTTATTATTTTTTTCTAAGTTTGGTCACGAAAAATGATTGTCACACGGTTCATCAATCAAATCAAGATATCGCTATCTAATGATTATTCTTTACAATATCAATTAGGACAAACATGTACGCTCACTAAAACTAGAACTATTTCGAGTGATCATATATATCATTCATAATATGTCCATAAATCATGCTATCAACCCGTTAAATAAGTTAAAATAAGTTGTGTACGATCTTAGAATTTATAAATATAAAACTTGCTAATTTTTCGATGATTCGAACAATCGATAGATTTACGTGATTAGTCGTACTTCAATAAATCCTTTATACCCGACAAAATCCATTTGATACACCAACTTATGAAGTTTATGTTTCAATGAAAATACACAATATATTAATCTCATCGATATCAATCGATTAAAATAGAAAACATCTTATTCCGTGTTGCAAATTGTTGTCTATCTCGTTCTGTTTCAACGTTGTTTATATCTATCAACGTAACGAGTTTATGTGTGTTTGTTGCCACGTGCTATGAATTACAGTGAAGGACTCTTTTTGCGTTCTTTCTTGACGATAGAATATACTGACAACTTCTGTAGCGTGGCGTAAAGTAAAAAATACAAATGTTGACGACGTTCTCTTTCTTGACGTAGGTAAGCATGGTGAGCGATGTTTTTTGTGTCTTACAAGAAAAAATCGTAATTGTTCTTACTCATAGAGTAAAATCTTCAAAAAATATGCAGTTGATTGTTTTAACTAATGATGCATCATTATATACATACAATTTGCGATTATATACACATTCCTATTCAAAACTTGGATAGATAGATTTTTTCAATAACGATCGTAAAGAAAACAAAAGACATCTCCTTGTCTTTGTAATTCCATTCAACAATTCATATGTGCGTTAACTACAGCTATAGTCATCGTTATAAAAGTTCATCGACTTTTATATTAAATTTTTTATATGTTTCTAGACAATATGGATGAAGACTTTCTTCCAGATACTACTGATCCTTTGGAAAATATTCCTGAAATAGCTCCCAATGAAGCCGAAACATTGGCATATCAACATCTAATAGATCGATTAGAGGAAATTGAAAATTTACCAACAACAGATGCTCAAATGAAGAGAGATCAAAGATCTCAATTTGTTGCTGTATGGAGCGAAGTCCTTCAAATTCCTCCATCGGATGCTCCATCTTGTTATCAGAAATGTACTAGTCTTCTGTCACGTTTATTCAAACAAAACCAAATTTATATCATACGAGCAAATACGAAAATTGCTCGTGAGATGTGTTTTGCATGCATATCTCAACTCACTAATTCAAATATAAGTCGTTTTCTGAAGTTAAAAATAGAACAACAGAATTTACCTGACAATCGAATTTTAAAAAAAAATATTCTCCATCTGCTACGAATCGCAGCACAAACAATTGCACTTATTCCATTTGCAAAGGTGGACGATCGACAATTCATTGAAAACCACTTTGAACTTTATACTGTATTGATTGAACATATCGAACAATCCATGCCTGAACATTGTGAAACAAAAGTAGAACAAGGGTATATCCTAGGAGATATTGCTTTACGTGCCCTTAGTCTATTATGGAACACAACCGATCGAACTGTTCTTGTACCACTTTTGTTGAGAAATGATTTTGTCAAGAAATTACTCGGTTGGTTTGCACAAGCATCTAAATTAGCAGACACCAATAATCGACCTCTAATCAGTATTGTTCTCAATATTGCTCGGCATGATGATGGAGCTGATGAACTCAACAAATATGGAGCCATACACATTGTCAAAGAGTATATGAAAATGTAAGTTCACATATGAAATATATCTATAGTTTCAGTTCTTGTATTCGTTTTCTAGTAAACCAGCAAAGCCGGATAATCGAAGTTTGGCTATATCGATGACATTGGCTCTTCTTTCCACACCGGAAGAACTCAAACGGGACACGAAAGGCATGAACAATGCACTCAATCGTTTGCTTCAACTTGTTATTGATTGTTCCAAAAATAATCGTTTTCGACATGAAGGTTTTCATGTTAGCGAACCACTAGTTATCTTAGTGAAGATGTTCGTTGTTGACGAACGTACACTTGAGTATGTCTTATGTCATGCAGAAACAAAGCCACCATCCGATCCTCACTCAACAATTCGTCTATTCATCACATTGCTCTTCAAATTTACGAATGCATTGGATGTCACAAATCAAATAAGACAATACACACTAATAAGTCTATTAAATATTATTTGGAGCATATCATTTCAACCAAATTATGCAAGTGAATTAACTCAAGACGAACAATTAATGTCAATTATCGAAAAATTTGCCGACGATGATCAGGGTAAAGAAGTTCTCGAAGATTACAAGCCAAGATCGATGGAAAGTGTTAAAGAAGCAGCACATGGTATTCTACACAATCTCAATCGTGATGTTAAAACTGATATGATATTGGAGAAAAAGAAAGCATATCGTGATGCACATATATCAGATTCGACAACAAAGTGAGACCATCGATTGAATGAAAAGTCGGATATATTGAACTTTCTTGTTTCTAGAATACAACAAAAACCATCAATTATGATTAGTTATTGTCATGAAAATAATGACTTTTGTACATATGTATTAGAAGTACTAAACAAACACAATGATGTCTTTAACATATGGATCGATCGAACACATTGTCAAGGAGCCGATGATTTATGGGAATCAATTGCTGACGGTATGGAACAAGCATCAGTCATAGTATGTCTTCTTTCGAATCAATATTTCGAAAGTAAATCATGCCGGAAAGAATTCATCTATGCTACAGATTCACTGAAGAAAAAACTTATACCTATATTAATTGAACAGTTCGAACCAAGGGGATGGTTAGGTTAGTTCGATAAGCAAACTGTTTCATGATATTCAATTTGTATTTCGTCTATTGAAGGTATTCGAATGACAGGTATCAAATATGTACGTTTTCGAGGAGCGTTTGGATCGGAACAAAATAAAATAATAGAATTATCAAATACAATTCTTGCAACGTTGTCATCACAAACATTACATGACGATAATAGTTATCCTTTACATTCATCACATCATGTAGTGTCACTACCGTCGCCACCACCACCACAACAACAACAGCAACAACATTTATCTAGTACTAATTCCATACAGCAAATTTCAATAGTGACCCTTCGTCCATTCAATCAATGGACATCCACTGGAGATGATATTCATCAATGGTTTGCATATCATCGACTATCGAATGAATTACGAGATTTATATGACTTTCAAACTGGTGAAGAAATGCTTGAATATGCTAAAATATTGGTAAAAGATCGTGAACAGCAAATGCACATTTATGAAAGATTATTTTCTAAGAAATATAATGGTGAGGAATTGCCACCACATGAATTTAATCGATTCACATTGGCTTTAGAGAAGCTACTAAGAGAGAATCTTCCGCCTACAACTACAACAAATCCATCGACTTCAAAAAACTCCAATATATGCATTATTTTGTAAAAGATTGTAGATTTAAAGTGAATAGTAACGATTTTCTATTAAAATGTGATGAATGATCGCAGTATGATGATATTTCGAGATAGTGCAACTATTGCTTGACTTAGTTTCTTTTGGTATTCATTTTTTCCTCTAAAATCGAAACAATCCAATTCCATTGTACTATATAGATATTTTTTATAAAAAGTAAATAACGTAACACACTACCAGCGAGGCTCTACTAAACAATGAAATCTGTTTTCATATAGTATATTGTGACTCATTTATTATATCTTTAGAAACGTCTATATATCATTCATTAGGTAACATAAATCCTAATCCCGCCAGTAGTAGACACTAAAACGTATTCATTTATAAATAAACGAGAGAACTACAAGAGAACATGACTTATTAATAATCCGATAACTTCCATTGATCTTGCCATTCGAGTGAAACATTCGTATCCGAATGAAATGTATATGGTAGCCATATATAACTAGCGTTCAATAAGTTAGGATAATCCCAACGATCACCCATGTAAATATAAAATACTGTTCCTGGTTGTTTTGTTGACGGAAACGAAAGAACAAAAGTCGACTGACTATTGAATGTTGTATCGGAATGTGTTGGATTGCCCAAAGAAATCCAATTGGCATTTTGTAAACTATCTGCATTGCTGATGAATAACTCAGCTGCATTAGGCGCCCAACCCGTCAAATGACTAGTCATCATGTAATAGTTACTATTACGATGAAAAATCGCATGTCCTTCTCGGGGTTCATTAATGGTACTAGTTAAACCCGTTGTATTGAGATAATCATCGGTAAGTCGACTAATACCAACATATTGATTGTTACATGAACGAACAAAATATGCACCATTGACTGAACCATTGCGTTTGTCTTCGTAGAGATTCATATCCAACGATGGAATACCATCGGGTCGGAATGAATGAAGAAATGTAAATACACCGTTGGGAACCGATGAAACGGCAATACCAACATAACGATACGTGTAGTCATTACTATCTAGATGAAACCACATGACAAAACGTTCAGTGAGCGGATTCCAAAGAACTTTTGGTCGTTCAATAACATAAGGTCCAGGATGACCTTCGATCGATACTTGTTGTTGCCGAAGTACTTGATCCATATTTGTCCACGTTAGCAAATCCGTTGAATGATAGCAATTAACTCCATGATCGGATAGATTTGCTGTTTTCAAAGATTCACCATACCACCAATAGGAATTATCATGTGGATCGATAAGAATACCACTAGCATGGGCCTGAATTGATCGACCATCGGTATCATTCCAAACGACACCACTCTGTATATAGTTCGAAGTCAACATAGATGATTTCACTATTGCACTACTGAAGAGTGCAACAATAACGAATGACCAGATAAGGCTAATTGGCATGAACGATTATTTTGTATTATCAGAGCATAGGTACGAGATTGAGACGCGTTCGTAATAAAAAAAAAAGATGCCGACATGTTTGAATTTGATCACAAAAACACGCACAATGGGATAATTGCCATCTGTGTCAACTTTTTCAAGATTCAATATTGACTAATGCATAGGTCCTAGCGTTGAATATGGACCCTCGTGCTTTAAGGTAAAATAGAAAAGAAAACGAATGAAAAGCAGCTGATAGAAATACACCAATTAAAAGACGAATTGTGTCGAATATATAAGTATAATATGTAAGTCGAAAATCTATGAGAAGTCTTTCATAATGATTATAATTGACACACCTATTTCATGCGGGTGTGGGTGTGGATGTGGATGTTGTTACTCTCATTTCCTACAACTCACACCTCACCCACACCCACACACCCACATCCACACAAAAGTAACGTAATATGGACTTCTTTTCAACTTTTTTTTTCTTTATAGATCCATAGTTTGATCTCATATTTGATTCCTATATACTAGATAACAATACTCAGAGAATGAATCTATTATCGGCCTTTGGTTGTAAGAATTTGTCAGAAAACATACGAATATCTTTCGTAAACTCTTATATAACTGTCACATAAATTCTTTATTATCTAATCGAAGTCAATGTCTTTTTTCATTATATCACGTTTTTGAGTCGTTTGCTACGCAACAAATCTGAAACAATAACGTAAAGATCAATGGAATTCAAATCATCCTGTACATTTTGATGCAAACGAGACATTCGTATGATTCTCAATAAATCTCTTTGGCCGAAGGCTAATAATAGGCTCTTTGTCTGAGTATTATCATCTAGTATACGTGGTCCAAATATGACAGCGAACTATGGATCTATAGAGAAAAAAAGTTGACGAGAAGTCCATGTTACTTCTCTATCTTTACGTGGTTAGTGTTTTCCCAATAAAATCAAGCTCATGTTCACCCAAATTTGCAGTTAAAATCAGGCTTGCTAGATCTTCTGATATGTTGCCAAATTCTAAACGTTTTTAGATAGTGGCTTTACTAACGAAATTAATTACAAGTATAATCCATTAATATTATAGATCCGTATTCCGCTACCTTTTTTCCTTTCTTAATCTTTTATAGTTTCGGAGTTCTGCCACCGCTGATGAGTGCTTTAATGTAATAGCTCAAAAACATTGATTGAAGAAATTTTGAACAAAGAAAAAGTTGAAAAATAATATGGAATTTATGTTCTATAACCTTTATTATCTTTTGTAAACAGAGTGTTGAGCTTCGTAAAAGAATCCAACACTCTTCAACCATGACGAAAAAAGAAAACTAAGCGTTAATGAAATTTCATAGTATGGACACATAACAAACTATAAACTTCTTGAAACTTGAATATTTCGATCTGTGTACGCTATTGGTAGCTCATATTTTTAATTAATTGATTTGACAGTGAGAATATTCATTTGATCTGACTATGATCAATCTCCTTAACTTACAGTACACGTTCTTTTACTCTAAGCTATATAATGGTTGTATTGTCTTTCTTTAATATGAAATACTTTTGGAAATAAGATATGAGAGTGAAGCCTTTTGTACAATTATCTTAACATAATAGCCATTGGTTTGCAAGAAATTACTCGTTTTGATTAGTTTCCGATTTTGGAAAAAAATTCTGATTGGTGAAAATACCAGAAGCAATTCTTTTTTTTCATTCTTCATAGAAAGAATAAGCGAAAAGTGCATGTATGAATCAGATAGAAGAAAAAAAAATCGAGTTACTATCTAATTCAAAAATGAATAAACAATTCTGAAACCGTAAAATTTCAATGGGCAATTGCCCATTTATTCCTCTCCTGGCTATGCCACTATGTAAAGAAGATTTATTGATTATCACACAAAATTCTTTTGTGCATATCAAATGCACAATAATTGTACTAAATCATAGAAAAAATAATTGTAATAGTAAATCTAATAGATTTTGATAAATCTTCTCGAATACTCGAACAAATCAAATCATTTAAGTTTTTATTCACTATTCTGTTTAAAAACGAAAATATACAATCAGGTAAATTTTTAAAAACAAAGATGTCGCATTCAATCGATATACTTTTGTTTTTTCGTATCTGAAAGTGATTCATAATTAATCGTCAACGTTTTTTTTTCCTCTCAAAAATTTCATATTTCTATTGCTACTCAAAAAAAAAACAACATTTTAAAAGCAACAATAGATTAATTTTATTTTCATTAGTCGAAAAAAAACAAAAATTTCAAAAATATGCGTCAAAAAGCTTCTCCAACATCAATTACTACTAATGAACAAATAACATATTATTTAATGACTGAAGATGATGTTTTAAAAGAAATTACAAAAATAATTAAAGAAGTTAATGAAATTCTTAATTTACAATCAACAACATTAGTACGTTTAATACTTAATTATTTTCATTGGGATAAAGATACATTGACAGGTTAATTTCTTTTTATTTTAAAGAACAAAAAAAAAAAAAACATGAAATTATCTTTCAATTTAGAACGATTTTATGAAGATCCTGATAAATTATATCAAACACTTAATGTTGCTAATCCAAATTTATCACCATCACTTCAATGGAATCCTCTTTCGCCTGCATATAATCCTACAAGTGATCCAATGCTTGCAGTTTCTGAACAAACAACTACAAATGGAAATATTGTTTGTCGAACGTAAAAATAAAATCTGAGGAAACAAAAAAGACAAATGATATTTGTATATGTTTCTTTTCTTTTTTTAGTTGCTATTGTGAAACACCTTCAAATGAAATTTATGCATTACCATGTCGACATCAACATTGTTTAACATGTTGGCAAAATTATCTTGAATTTAATATAGTTAATGATGGTTGTTTAAAACCAATATCTTGTCTATCAAGATGTATACAAATAATAGATGATGATGAAATATTAAAATTAATATCAAATAATACAAATCTTTGTGAACGTTATCGACGAGGTTTAGTTGAAGCATTTGTTGAAACAAATCGTTTAACACATTGGTGTCCTGGAAATGGATGTACAATTATAGTTAAAATAAAACATTTTACAAGTAATTTAGCAAAAATGATTGAATGTGATACATGTAAAACAATATTTTGTTTTCAATGTTTAAAACAATGGCATGAACCAATTCAATGTTCATTATTAAAAAAATGGGAAGAAAAAAATCGTGATGAATCAATGACTGGAAAATGGATTGTTGCTAGTAAATATAGAATTTTTTTTTCACAAAATTGTTATAGCTTTTGTCCATAAATTTTATATGTAATATGATCTTAGTTCATAGGTTTAGTTAGTTTTGTATCTTACAAAAGTAATGATAGAATGCTTTAGGCCTTCGTTTTTAAGATATCGAAATTTTACTAGATTCTTTGTGTCCTTAAGGTCATGTGAGAAAATTTGACTTTCTTTGCATGAAGAAAGATTATTTCATTGAGTAAGTTATAATTTTTCTAGTATTTCCTATCTTGTGATATAGAAATATTCGAAATTCTCTCATATATAAAAACAAATATTATCCAATAGAAAAGCTAAAACTTACATAATCAACTAATCTTATTGAGAACTTTGCATATGCAAAGTTTGAAATCGAAAATTATTTTTCATGTGACCTGAAGGAAAAACCAAACGGACTTCAAAATATCCTCTGGATATTTATTCTTGAAATATTCATTTGAACAGTATCCTAATGAATTCAGAACATGCTGCTGCTAGTATGTCATAGGAATTGCAAAATGCTTCTACATGTTTAATATACTAACTTGTTGAAAAATGTTTTATAGAGTGCTATAGAAAATGAACAAAAATGTATCCTTTTGAGAACACGAATACCTTGAATTCAATGCACTCACTAAGATAGTTTTCTCGTTAACATCCATTTGATTTAACCTAGAGTTTATTTAAATAGTGATCAGTTTTTTTTAGTAGATGATTAAACTTTTTTTTTTCATCTCTTTTCAAATTTATTTAAAATAATATTTCAATCGAATCTTTAGATACGAAAGAATGTCCAAAATGTCATACAAATATTGAAAAAAATGGTGGTTGTAATCATATGAGTAAGTTAATTTTTCTATATTAATGAATATAAAAAAAATTCTTTTTTGTTTTTGCTTTTCTAGCTTGTCGAAAACCAGGATGTGGTCATGAATTTTGTTGGTTATGTTTTGGTATGTATACTTTTATTTTGAAATAAGAAAAGTATTCATAATCTTCAGAATTGAGATGATTATTTGGATTAATGCGACAAGGTACCCAATTGTGACTAATTGTTACAATTTTACTGAATTTTTTTTCATCGCTGACAAGATACTGGTAACAAAAAAATCGAATTATGCAATTTCAATTTAAAATTTTGTGTATAGATACGTCTCGTGGACATTAGAATGCTCTGAAAATTTCAGCTTAAAAGAATATATTACTATTGAGACGTTAAAAACATTGGATTTTCGATATTCAATGACTCGAGTAGAACACATCGGTTTAGGCTGAAATCTTTAAACCATTGTAATGTCCACGGGACCTACCTATAGGCAAAATTTCAGATTGAAATTCTATAATTAAATTCATTTCCCTAGTACCTAGAGGTATAAGCCGCCATTCGATCTTTCGGCTTATATCTCAACTAGTATCTTGTCAGCGATAAAAAAAATTCAGTAAAATTATAATAACTTGGGAAGGACAGAACATAGGTACAAACCATTATAGACTTCTAGAAGTCTCGTTATGACTTATTTATAGACAAAACATTTGATCGATAAACGAATTTCTTCACTATTCTTTTACTTAAATTTTCTTTTTTTTTGTGGTAAAGGTGATTGGAAAGCACATGCAACTCAACAATGTAATGTTTATCATGAAGAAGAAGTTGAAAAAAGTCAATCTGATGCTCGTGAAGTTCTTGTTCGTTATATGCATTATTTTACACGTTATCAAGCACATAATCAATCTCTTGAATTAGAAAGTAAATTATTAGATAAAGTTGAACAACGTAAAAAAGAAATGGAAGCTGATTCAATGCCATATGCTGATCGACAATCTATACAAAAAGCATTTGACGTTTTACAACAATGTCGACGTACACTTAAATATACATATCCATTTGCATATTATTTAGAACGAACTAATCAATCAGAAATATTTGAACAAAATCAAGCTGATTTAGAACGAGCAACAGAAATTGTATCAGATATATTAGAACATGAAATAGATGTTAATCAAGATATGGATGTTAAACATAAAATAGTATTAAAATTAATGGATATAACATATTATTGTGATCAACGAAGAAAAATTTTACTTGATCATTGTAAAGATGGATATAGTCAACATGAATGGCGTGGACTAGATCCATATTAGATTTCTTTTTTTCTTTCTTTTTTTTTTAATTTGCTGATTTTTATAAATCATTATAAAATAAAATAATTTGAGATTTCATTTTCTATTCTAAATAAACAAGTTAATTGAATAATGTTTGTATACTGAACATATTCATATAACATTGATGGTGATCTAATATAAAGGAACTTTTGATATATTTTATTTACTATGTTTACTTAATTAACTTTGACTTGTATTTTCTAATTACATTCGTCAAAATAAAAGATAATTAATAAAATTTGATCGATAGTAGAATTTTTGTTGCAGACATCAAATTAAGAGATAAATCAAACGCATATGAATCTTTTATGCTTGCATATTTTCTTCTTTGATTGTTCTTTTTGATTTATCAAAATAAAATACGATGAATTTCTTTGTTTGTTCTCAATAACACGAAATCTAATCTGCTTAGATAAAATAATCTTTTTTTTTTTCAGTGTTTCTTCACAATATTTTCAAAAACTTTTTCTTTTTTTCTATGTTCGATACATAGATTTAAATATTCTCTATCAAATGAACATTTTTCAAAAGTTCAATCGTACTTTTAGCATATAAATATCTTGAAAATAAAATCTTCATTTTATTCTTAAAAAGCAAAACAAAAAAAAAACAGTACTCATAAAAAAGTTTGAACCCGATCGGTTTTTTTTTCACATATATCATTTTGAATCATTTATTTCGCATCAAATATGAAATATAAAGAACAGTTTCTAAGTAATATTCATAGAATGATTAAACAAGATAAATTCACAAGATTGCCACCTTAAAAATAAAGCCATGGGCTCTTTTTCCAAGATAGAGGATTTTCGAAACGAAGCTTTTTCAGGACTTCCACGGCTCAGTACAGGTTCGATATTTACAGCACTTGGTAGAGGATACTTCAATACATTTTTAGAAATGAAAAGCTCGGAATTGAAAAAAAAAAATAATTTTTTTGAGTCAGGAAAGGAAGAGTTCCATTAGGTCTGAGAAACAATATTTTTCTAAGAGGAAAACGCACGTAAATTTGATCTTAGATGATATAGAAAAAATGTACTTTAGATTTTTGCAGGGAGGAAAATTACAGGTCAATCACCTCAAAAAAAAATGAAAATTAAGATGAATGCATCGGTAGATAATCTGATCTTTCATAAATGACATGATTTTTTATTCGATATCTTGTTTGCCAAAATTTTTTTCATTTCTTCTCTGTTTATATGTTTTTTATGATTCCACATCTCAGAATCCTCCATGAAACTTGATCGGAGTCAGTTACTTTCTTGTTTATTCCTAAAACAATTAAGTCTATGAAATGAAAGCTCACCGAGATCAAGATCGGTTTTTGAGGCGGATGTGACTCTAATGACAACTTTTATTCTATTTATTTTGAGAGTTTTTTGTGTAATCATTCTGAAGAATCTTTAAAAAAGGCAACATTCGTCTTAATATAATTGTAAATAGTAAGAAAGATCGACATCTGTTAAATTTATTTTCATGATTGGTTTATTATTTTAACTTATCCTCATGTTTCTTATTTTCCTTCTAGTAGTTATGTTTTACACAAAAAAATTTTTTTTTTAAAATTATGTTAAAACCATCTGAATTTATTATTAAAACTTTATTTCGTTCATTTTCATCAAAATATACAAAATTTCGTTCAATTTCACCACTATTACGTTTTTATATGGATACAAAATCTGTATATGGTCCACAAAAATTAGTTCGAGAAAAACGATCTACAAAACCCAGTGACTTTGATTTATTTAATGAAAGTTTAAAGAAAAAAATATTCGAAAATGATACAGAATTATTATATGCTGGTTCTAATGGATTTCGTCGAGCATGTAGTATTGCAAAAGGTATTCCAATAAGTGAACGTCAAAAATATTTACGTCATTTATTTCGTATACCACGTGGTCAACGTCTTTCATTATATCCACAAGCTTATATATCAAATAAATATTTAGGTTTAAGAAGAAAAAAAAACAATAGATAAATAAATCATTTTTCATGAAAAGATTTTCGGTGTTTATTTTTTTTGTTTGTTTTATTTTAGATAATAGTAATCATATAAATTTGTCTTTAAAGTTTTGAATTAATTATTTAAAAATTTTTTTTGTTTTATTTTTTTTTGTTTTTTGTGTTACAATATCTATTGATATAAAACTGTTAATAAAATATATTATGAACATAGGATATATGAAGAATTACTTATTGTTTCGGATTAGGTGGCGCAAGATTAAAAAATACGATGTGTTTCATATTGATGATTATGCTGATTAGAGCCTGTCGGATCCAAACTCGGTTTATTGAACATTTTTTAGACCCGAACCCGATCGTTGGGAAATCATTCTTTGATTCGCTTGATTAGTTGTATTTTCAAAATGATTTCACAAAAACCATTGGAATTCTCTAGAAAACTTTTAAAGTATTTTGATTCTCAGGTAGGCTTGTATCCCCATTCATGCTTTTTCTAACAATGAAAACCTGAGATCGATAGCTATTAGTGTTGCCGAGTTATTCAATAAACAATTGAGTTCATTCTTTTTTTGAAATAGATAATAGTTAATCTTATTTAGTTAAAATAAATATTCGTTATAATTCTTTATATTTTATTTAATAAAAATCTTAATAATTATTCATATTTATAATAAGAATATTAAATTTAATTAATCCTAGATTTTGTTTAAATCTTTTCATTAAAAATAAATTCAATATATTTCACATGTTAAACAACTTGTAAGAAACCTTTAAAAACAAAAATATATAAACTTGTCGTACAAAATATTTTTATATCTTGAAGCCTTTTAAAAACATTAATATTTTCATTAACTACTCTCTCTCTTTATCATTTTCTAAATATACATAGTATCAATATTGAATTGGTTTTTGTGCATTTTTCTATGAATATAAAGCTTCTTGACAACATAAAAAAAAAAAAAATCTCATAAATATATATAGAAGAAACATGTCGTGCATGTAATACAAATTTTTTTTCTTCTTCTTTTAATCATAAAATAAAATACTTAAACACAACAGGTATATTATGAATGAAATTCTTCCATCAAATCATACATATAATAATGATGTTTTTAATCGAGAATCGATAGATTGATTTTGCAATCATTTTCTTTCTTTTTTTTTAAAAATACGATATATTAACATGATGATTGATGGAATTATACAAGGAACAGATCGTCGTAAAATAGTTTCTACTTATTATTCAGGTCAAACTTCTATTCGTAGACAACGTATTGAACGTTGGATAAATAAAGATCGAAGTACTTCGATTATAAATAATAAAAAAATAAGATCATCAAAACAATCAGATAATACATTATTTCAAACTGATCGTCATCTTAATGTAGAATTATTTCAATTAGGTGAACAACGTGAAAAATTTATTGAACAATGTAATTTTGATCAAAAATTATTTGCTAATAAACAAGCATTACTTCATAAAAAGAATCCAATGATACTTGAGTAATTCAAATTTTTGAGTTATTTTATTCAAACAAAAAGAAAAAAAAAATTATCTATTTTAGAACATTAAATCATGTTCAAAAACATTGTAAATATACTGATTTTAATGGTAATAATGAGATTTTAATTGATGCAACAGTTGGTTTAACAGATAATGATACAAATAAAACAATTCGTTCTCGACCATTACTTGCTACTGAACCTATAGTTAAACGAAATTTATTTTCTAATGTTCATACACAAACAAATACTTCATCTAAGGAAATATCTCGTCAACATGATAAAAAACATACTGAATCGTCAAAAAAATTAACTGAAAGAAAAATGGTATGTCTATATGTTATTTTTATCTCGAACATCTATATCGAAAATTAATCCTTAAAAATCGAGGATGGTCTTTTTTTTTGATACTGAGAAAAAATAGAAATTCTGAATATTCACGGAAAAAGTTCCAATAAAAACTATATAGTGCTCTGAGACTAGAGTTGAAACTGGACAAGTTTTTTCTGTCCGATCAGCAACCGGTCGGATGAACTTTGCAAATAGAACTATAAAGAGAACAATCAATCGTTTATAGTGTAATCGAACACAAAATATCTATTGAATCTTTTGTAAACACATTCTCCTAACTTGAAAGTTTCATAAAAAACACCGTTTTCATTAGAGTAGACTATTTTGATAAAAAATTTTTTGATCAGACCCTGAAGAGGAACACAGATAAACTTTTCGTCGGAAAAAACAAAGTTCGCAAAAAAAATTGTAACACTCAAACGTCGATTCAATTTTCGCGACTGCTTCTAAATATGTTATTAGTTTTGACATAAACCATATTTTTTCTAACCAAAATCTGCGGAATACTAATCAAAAGAGTTACAAAATCATGTCTTGAGAACAATCTGGTGGAAATTTCTTAAGTGCCCAGTGTTTTCGAAATTTGAAAGGCACTATCAAGATTTATATAAACCAAATGATGCAAATCTCTATCGATCAACAAGCAGAATCGAATTTTTAGCTAACCTATCACTGATTGCCAATAAAGTGACAAATAGAAAACACCGATAGATTTGTTCTCAAAGAAATCGATATAGAATTGAATACTTTATCCGATGAGATCATCCTAAAATGAAAGTGATATTGCTGTGCAAAAATATCTCACAAGGTAGTACATCGGATATCCATCCTTAATAGTGTATACTATATGCCAAAAAAGTTTCAGTGAGATCGAACATAAGATCTTGAAGAAACGGGGAAGTCATTTTTCAGCATTATGATCTCACGAGGGAACATCCCCAACTGTCCAACACCGATCGAGCTCATACTTTGGCCATGAGTAGGCCTCACTGAGACTAAGAAAATCTCAGAAGAATTCGGGGCCATGGCCTATTAGCCATGAGTTATGACCATTTTACTGAATTTTCAGCCTATCTGCAGGTATTCACCAGAAAGTCAAATTACAAGATTTCGATCTGAAATTTCGCCCAAAGATAGGCCTAATGATCATTGAGATATCCTCAAAATTTCAACTCAAACGGACGTTCCTTTGTCGAAATATTGGATTTTCACGTAAACTCGATTTTTGGGACAAGTATGTGATAAGCGACTGGTTTTTTGAAAATCCAATATTTCGACAAAGGAACGTTCGTTTGAGTTGAAATTTTGAGGATATCTCAATGATCATTAGGCCTATCTTTGGGCGGAGTTTCAGATCGAAATCTTGTAATTTGACTTTCCGATGAATACCTGCAGATAGACCGAAAATTCAGTAAAATGGCCATAACTCTTGGCTAACAGGCCATGGGCTCGAATCCTTCTGAGGTTTTCTTAGTCTCAGTGAGACCTACTCATGACCAAAATATGAGCTCGATCAGCGTTGGACAGTTGGGGATGTTCCCTCGTCAGTACCTAATAGAAGATAGTATTAGAGATGACATCTTTTACTATACTACTTGCTTCGAAAATTTCAAATTTGTTTTTTGATGAACTGTTCTTCACAAAGTTTGGACAAGGTGAGGGTATGCTTAAATGAGAAAGACAAACCTAATGAAATGAACTTATTTATATCTGAATAAAAAAAAAACAAGTTGATTCGGTCAATAAATATAAATTTTGAAAATTCATTTAAAATATTCATTATATTTATCTACTAGTCTATAACTAGAAAATCAGTTGATCAAGAAAAACAAAACTCCTCTCATGTTCAATTTCGAACTAATATAAAATCTGGTAGTCAATCTGCTCATGCATCAAGCAAACATCGTTCATCAATTGATTATCAACAATCAAATCGAAATATTACAACAGCTCATGGAGTACGATCACATCAAAATCATACTTCTTCGATACCAATTATTAATCATACGAAAGAAGAGAATAACACTTCATCAAAAATAAGACGTCCCAATTTACGAACATTTGTATCAAAAAGTACTCTTCAAGAATTTCGTCAATATCCTGAACGATTTTTAAGTAAAACAAATCGTTATTTACCATTACTTCGTCATCAAACTATGAAAATTGAATCAAATGAATGTAATACAAAACAAGAAAAACAACGTAAAGAATCTTCATCATCAATTTCACTAGATCATTCTAATGAATCAGATTTAACACATGATAATGAACCATTATCTCTTATTGAAGAAATCGATACAAAGTTTATTCTATCTATTATATATTTCTATTTATTTTAAACTAGGTTTGTTTTTTTTTGTAGAAAATCTGAAATTGATTTACATATGTCGAGTTCGATTAATCATAATCGTAAACAATCAAAAGAAGTTAATACATTAAACAAAACTGATTTAATGAAAACAATCCATGATGATAAATCCGAACGTAAATTAGCATTATTACGTCTTCGTGATCGTGAATATAATCATTTACAAACATTAATTCATTCAAATCGTATTGAACATATTGTTAGACCATTATCATCAATGAAAACTTTTGAAAATCAACAACAAACAACAAATCTAAATGATATTTTATATTCAATGAATTCATTATGTTCTTCGAATATAATAGATAAAAATCTTTCGAAATTAGGTATTGTAATATCTTGATATCACAAAAAAACAAAAAGAAAAATAACACAAAGAAATCAAAATCGTTGTGTATTGATTCTCTTTTCTTTTTTTCGTATTCTTTTATTTTGATCTGAATAAATATATGATCTTATTTTAATATTAGTGATGCAAAATAGGTGTCTATTTTGACAATTGAGAGCAAGACGATTTGTCAATATGTGCATGTCATATTCAACATATTCTTTATTTTGTTCTTTGCGGTATTTGATGCTTTAAGCAAGAAAAAAAAAAAAAAAAAAAAAAAGAAAAAATACGAATGTTTTTGATTCATTTTGCCATTTATCGATCGATTATTTATTTCTTTGCGTTCATGGCACTTTCTATAATGTAAATAGGATATAGATTTCCTTGAATGCCTTCGAGTTTTTTGATTGATATCTATTTACCAAACATTCGCTGTTTTCATGAATATAAGATTATTGTGATTAGAAATATTCTTATTTCATAACAACAGAATATAAACGATTTTTTTTTTGTTTTATAAAAACGGAAATACGTCCGATAACAAACGAGCCGTCAAAAAGAGGTAAATAATGCTTGTGATTTATATATCCGGCTTTGTTAATTCAAACTCATTTGTTTAAAAAAAAAAATCAAGAAAGCCAAGTCATCATTGTCTTTTTTCTTCTACATTAAAATAGAAAAGATAGGTAGGTGTTGGTGTTGGTGTTGTTGTTTTTCTTATTCATATCTGTAGAAGAATCACAATGAAAATAAATGTATAGAAATCAAAGAAACATATTATATATTGACATTAGAAGAGCAAAACATGAGCGAGCACAATTATGACAAAAAAAAAAAAAAAAAGAAAAATCGAACGGTGTTTTCTTCTTCTTCTTTTTTTTGTCGTTTGAAAAATTTGTCATTGTGCTCAACTATTGAAAAGACGATCGGGCATACAGAAGAGAACAAACGACAAGGCACCAAGGTGTTGTTGATTCAATGGTTATTTCTTCTATTTTTCTATCTTTTCAATACTATAAGAGATTGAACAGAAATCTATCTTAGTTTTTTTCTTTTTCAAGGTATTTTATTCAATATTGCATATATTGATGATCATGGTGTGAAAATCAAATCTAATTATTAAATTAAAACAACAAAAAAAAAGTTATACATAATGGTTAAACGTATTTTAAGTCATCCAAATGTTTATAGTGGTGATGGACGTGAGTATATTAAAGAATTTTTGTTTTTACTATTTTCTATTATTTGAAAATAAAAATAAAAATAAAAATAAATCGATCAGATATATCATTGTATTGAACTATTTCAAGTAAAAAAAAAAGAAAAATTTGAAGACTTGAATTCTATCTGTAAATATTCTCTTAACATATGACTTCGTCAAAATAAATTTAAATCAACGATAGTAAATAAAAACAAGATTTCTTTGTCAAAAATCATAAATGAAATTTTATTTTCGAAAAAGATGAATAAGATTATATAAAATAGTTTCTTGACTAGGTTGGTTATTTCATATACGAGACTATATTTGCCCTAGGATATTACTTTTTGTTCTATTCTTTATTCTTTTTACACCTGGATATAGAAAGAATATTATTGCTATAGAAAACATAAAAGACAATTTTAAATGTTCTGCATTTAATATAAAACTATAATTGAACATAGTGAAATTTCTTCAGGCGATACTAGAATAAAAGATATTTGCTTTTACGTATAAACTAATATTAAATAACGAGAATAATAAAAATTTAATTATTTCTATATATGATTTTCATTCATATGTGAACAGCAATAGATTATAATAAATAATAATATAAATATTTACATTGTTATATTGATGATTACTAAATGAAATGAAAATATAATAATATAGAATATGATTGGTCCCGTAATCAAAATAATTTATAAATTAGATAAATTTTGTTTCTTATTTATTTCACAGTTTTCTTATCGTTTGAGATAGATAGACGAGTAGTATCTTGACATGAACCTAACAAATGATGAAATATATCCGAAGACAAATTCATTATTATATAAAATCAAAAATATTTATTTCAGGTGATGAGACAAGAACGATTAGAAGACGTTCATATGAACGTGAAAATGATGTTGCTCTTATTAATAATAATCGTACAAATTCAGTTCCAATGATAACAATTAAAAATAGTATATCAGAAGAAGAACTAGATCAGCAACAACCGAAAAAGAAAACTAGTATAGGACCTATTAATATTACAACAATAAATAAATCAAATCAAATACAAACAGAAATTCGTGAACAATGGAGTGAAAAACTTGATTTTCTTTTATCAATTATTGGTTTTGCTGTTGATCTTGCTAATATATGGCGTTTTCCATATTTATGTTATAAAAATGGTGGAGGTTTGTATATTCTTTTTATTAAATTTAATTATTTATTGTGTTTTATTCATTAGGTGCATTTCTTATTCCATATGTTCTTTCAGTTATACTCGGTGGTTTACCTTTATTTTATTTGGAACTTTTACTTGGTCAATATTATCGACAAGGTTCAATAACATGTTGGAAAAAAATTTGTCCATTATTAGCTGGAATTGGATGGGCTGTAACTATAATTGCATTCTATACAGATTTTTATTATAATGTTGTCATATCATGGGGTTTATATTATTTATTTGCTTCATTTAGACGAATTTTACCATGGAGTGATTGTAGTATGTTAAATTATTCATGTTATTTTACTTGGTTTCTGTTGTTTTCTAGATCATGCATGGAATACAAAAGATTGTTCTACTGTTAATAGACGTCGTATTTTTTTAGAAAATTGTATGAATCAATCAAATAATACAATAAATTTATCGGAAAAATTCTTAGAACGAAATTTTCTATATGAAAATTGTTCTGAAGAATTAACACGTTTAAAAATTGTCTCACCAGCACAAGAATATTTTCAGTATGATAATACTTTTTGTTTGTTTTTCTTAATTTCAAATAATTTTTATTCTATTAAAGTTTACAAGTTTATCGACTTAAACCAGAATCAAAACTTAGTTTAGCTCATATGGGAAATATCAATTGGGAAAATCTAGTTTGTCTAGCTATTATTTATCTTATTTGTTATTTTTCAATGTGGAAAGGAATTAAAACATCGGGCAAAGTAAAAAAAAAGTTTTTTTTTTAAATATTTTTTCAAAAATTTTGTTCAATTTAGGTTGTTTGGTTTACTGCATTATTTCCTTATGTTGTATTAACAATATTAATGTTTCGTGGATTTTTTTTAAATGGTTCAATGAAAGGTATTGAATATTATATTCGACCAGATTTAACTAAATTAACTGATGCATCAGTATGGGTTGATGCTGCATCACAAACATTTTTTTCTTTGGGACCTGGTTTTGGTGTATTAATGGCATTTGCAAGTTATAATGATTTTCATCATAATGTTTATCGGTATGAACTTTTTTTGTTTTTTTTTTTTATACATATAAATTAATATAATTTCTGAGGTAATTTCTAGAGATGCAATGATTACAGTAGCAGTCAATAGTATAACAAGTTTTGCTAGTGGATTTGTTATTTTTATGTTTTTGGTAAGTTGAAAAACAAAAATACGAAATCATTATGATTGGTAGGAGCTTGAACATTTTACCTGAGAACTTCTACTGATACTCATCATTCGAGCTCATATTGGATTCACATGCAGATCTTAGTAGGACTAGTAAAAGTCTAAAAGGATTCATCCGTATAAGCCTTTGTCCCCGAGTTATGAGTACTTCCTGAAAGAGCGAGTAATGGAGTTTTAATTGAAAATTTTGTCAATAGATAGAAAAGGATGTTCCTTCGTCTAGATTGAATTCATTTAAAGAATTAATAACTCGATGAAAGAACGTTCTTTTTCACCTATAGACAAAATTTTGAATTAAAATTCTGTTACTCGCTCTTTGGAGAGGGTGCCTGATAATGGGTCAAAAACTCAGCAAACCGATCATAATTCAACGCCAAAGGCTAATAGAGACGAATCCATTCCATTGACACCTGTCTGTGAGTCTAATATGATCTCAAACGATGGGTGTTAGTTTGAATAGTTGTCTAAAATATTTCTATTTCTTCTAGGGTTATATGAGTGAAATATCAGGTCGTGATATAAAAGATGTTGCTGAACAAGGTTCAACACTTGTTTTTATTGTCTATCCTGAAGCAATAGCAACAATGCCATGGGCACCTGTTTGGGCTGTATTCTTCTTTTTAATGTTATTAACACTTGGTTTAGATTCATCAGTATTTTTTTAACTTAAAATATTTAACCAAAAAAAAAAATTATTTTATTATAGTTTGGTGGAAGTGAAGCAATAATAACAGCTTTAAGTGATGTATTTCCAATTCTTCGTCAACGTCGTGAATGGTTTGTTGGAATTTTATTTTCATTTTATTTTATTATTGGTATACCAAGTTGTACTGATGCTGGTATTTATTTTGTTGAATTATTACAAAATTATGCTGGTATTTCTTTTTTTTTTTGTGAATTCAATTGATTGTGTTTTTTTCTTTTTTGAAGCGTTCTATTCAATAATTATTGCTGTCTTATTTGAAGCAATAGCTGTATCTTGGCTTTATGGTATTGAACGAATTAGTGAAGATATTAAAGAAATGCTTGGTACTAAACCAGGAAAATTTTGGATTATAACATGGTGTTTTATTGCACCATTATTTCTCGGAGTAATAAATCGGGTGTTTTTTTTTCCTAATTGGTGATGCATAAAGAATGAGACAGTTTTATTTCTTTGTTTTTTTAGTAAAGCGGAAATAGTTGAAAGACTTTGTTTTTTTTTATACCATTTGATAGAGAATTTTTCATTCTAGAAAATTGTTTAATTTTTTTTTTTTGCAAATGAGTTCTTCGTGATGGCGGAAGTTTATAATCAGCTCGTTTTCTTTTTTGAAGGAATTGCATAACTATTGAAAAGATTTTACTTTTTCATGTGATGAGGTTTTAGAAGACATGCATAAACTCTATTGATAGCATGGGCTATTTTTGGCTTATTGTCAAACTTTCGAAATTTAAAGTTTTACTTTTTTTCAAAATTATTGACTTTGTAAACCCAATATGAGCGATGTTTTTAACGCTTTGAAATAGTTTTTGTAGTCAATCTACAACAAATAGTCACTCTAGAGATCAGTAGGATGTAAGTGGTTAAACTATCCCATAAGGTTCTTCATGAAATCTTGCATCTTTCGAGGTATTTTGGTGAAAATTTTAGAAGAGATAATTGCGAGAAAAAGTTCGAAAACACTACTAAATACTTTACTTTTAGCATAGGACTTGACGAGCATAGACTATACAGAAAATAGAAGATCGCAATTGACCAATTGCATAGATGTTAGTTTTTAGCCTACGAAAAAAAAACATAATAAATAGTTTTGTAGAACGATAAATTCTTTATCGAATGATATGAAAACAATGTCTGCAGTTCTTGTAAAAAAAAGTGTCACATTTTTTATGGGTTACACGTTAATTATTAGTGTTTTTATATTCAAAGGGTATTGTCATTTCTGGTCTTATCCAACATGTTCATTCAGATTATGGAAAATTAACTGATCCATTTTATTATAAGGTTTAGTAAATTACTGTCTGTTCAAAAATATAATGGTTATGAGTATTTTTTACAATAACTTAAGAACTAGAAAGCTGCAGTGTTTACTATTATGGACATAACTGCATGCCCTATCGATTCATTTTAATCAACAATAAAAAAAACAGGAGATTCTGTACAAAATCTCAAAAGGCCGATCTCTCTAAAATGATCCACAAAAGTTTAAGACACTTTTATTTTTAAAGTTTTTTCATCGAAGATGAATAGCTAGGTCAAATTCAAATAGTAATTTGGATAGCTCTTGAAATTCTCTATCGAATAGAATATCTATCAAATTTCCAAAAGAAACTTTGTGAAGAGAGTTTTCCAGAAAACCATTCCAGAAAGATTTTGACAGAAAGATTTTCAATATAAATATCTCAAAGAGCAGAGAATTCTGAACAAAATGAAGGATTCCCCAGCTCTGTACGATATTCCGTCACGAAGTTATAAGCATTACAAAAAAAAAGAAAAAGTGCGGTTTTAATCGAATTTAAGGGACTTTCTTGGCAAAAATCGACGAAAAACGCGTTTTTTTTCGTTTCTCCTAATGCTTATAACTTTGTGAGGGAATATCGTAGAGAACTGGGCAACCCATTTTCTGCTCTTTGAGATGCTTATATTGAAAAATCCTTCTGGAACGGTTTTCTGGAAAACTCTCTTCACAAAATTTCTTTTGAAAATCTAACACATATTCTATTCGATAGGAAATGAATTTGACCTAGCTACTCATCTTCGATGAACAACTCTTCAAAAATAAAAGTGTCTTAAATTTTTACGGTCCACTTTAGTTATTATGGTTAAAAAATGACACCCATTTTCCTGTGACTCATGACAACCTGCAAGTCCATACAATAAAATAGAATGTTAATAATGTTTGCCTTCATGAAATTTACTATTCAGTATCTTGAACAACTTGCATATTTGATGATAAAGAGAAAATATTTTTTTCGAAACATCATTTATATTGAGATAAAGGAATATTTAATTTATATCGTTTTCATCACATTGTATTAGTATTTTAAATGTCGTTGATATGTTGTCTTTTCAAGAGTTTCATTATGCAAGACTCTTTTTCGAAATCACAACAATCATAAAAGTGATTATATAAGCGCACGAACAATGATCTTAATAAATGATGTTTTGAAATAAGGATTAAGAAAATTGTACCCGAAATCAATATTTTTTTTTTATCGCTTATTAGTGAATCGATTATCTTCATAATAGTGAAAATCGCAGTTCTCTAACTATTTTTTCCATTCTTGAGTTATTGTAAAAATACCCATAGTCATTAGATTTTTGATCAGACAGTAATTATGAATTAGAATTCAAAAACAAAAAAAAAACATTTTAGTATCCTGATTGGAGTCATACAATCGGTTGGGTATTTGCATTATCGTCAGTAATATTCATTCCAGCTGTTGCTATTTATCAATTATTAATGGAACGAGGAAATTTATTAACAGTAATTAAACAAAAAAAAAATGAAGATTTTAATTATTGTTTATTAATTTTTCTTTTTTTGTTTTATAGAGATTTCGTTTAGCAATAAGACCATGGAAAGAACGACAAAAACATATAAATCCTGATATAATAATTAGTACAAATTTTGTGGATACACAATATCCTACTTAAAAGACAAATCAATTAATTTCTTTTCTGTGTGTTAATCTCGTGTTTTTTTTTTTTTGGTTTTTTTGTTTGTCGTTTGTACACATACACACGTCTGTATTTGTTTCCCTCTTTGTATTTTGAACACTTAGTTTCGTATTTCATATTAGTATATTTTATTTTGGCAAGGTCACATTAGAATACATTTATTGCTTTAAATTCTCGATTTTTCTTTTTTAAACATAATAACATTAAAAAAAAGAAAAGAAAAGAAAAGAAACAGTTTATAATGAATGAAAATCCTCATCTAAGGTCATTATTTCCTCCTTATTAGCTTATGTCATCTATCTCAATCAAACAAATGTCTTATTTCATTTTCTTTTATATAAGTCTACAATTACCTCGAAGTGGGCTCGTCGACATTTGAACAGGATCAACTTTCGTATGCATATTTTACATAAGTACAATAATGATGAGAGAGAGAGAGATAGAAAAGAGAGACTGTTCATGATTAAAATAACTTAACAAAAAGAAAAAAGCTAAGAAACAGAAGTAGTATTCGATTATCGAATAAAGTTTAAATATGAACGTAAGTTATTATTATTATTATTTAATAAATTCTTTTTTTCTATATAATAGAAACTTAATTTTTGTTTTTATAGACAATTTTGTTCATTATCTATTTTTCTTTAATTTGTTCTTATATCAATGCTGGTAAATGAAATACATTTGACACAAAAAAAAAGAAAATATCAATGTTTATTTATTTTTTTTTTTAATAAAGAATTTTGTCAAACAGATGATTGTCGTGGTGGTGATTGTGAAATTCTACGACTTTCTAATGGATTAATGAAGAAAACTTGCCATTGTGTTCAAGTAGATTATCATAGATTTTGGTTGTTTTTCTTTTTTATATTTGAATTTTTTTAAAGGGTGTATGTGGTGAAACATGTCAACGTTTATGTAATGCTAGTTCTAAATGTGATGCTAATCCATGTTGGTTTGGTGGTACTTGTGTTGATGTTGCTAATTTAGATTATGTTTGTTTATGTCCACCGAATTATACTGGTAAAGATTGTCGAACTTTAATTTCTTGTCAATTGAATAATTGTTTTAATGATGGAACATGTATTCAAACTGGTATATTTTATTAGAATCTATATTAATAATTAATTTTTTTTATTTTTAATTAGGTCTTGGTGCTCGATGTAATTGTCCAGAAAATTTTCGTGGTGATTATTGTCAATATACAACAATACCAAAAGCAAATAAAAAATCTCCACATATTGAATATCGACCATATGAACAAGAAATAATAGCAACTATTGCTGGTTTAGGTTCATCAAGTGCTAATCATCATGCTGTTGAACAACGAATTAATAGTTATGTTATAGCTATGGGTGATCATTCAAAATTTGTTTTTTGTTTAACAAATCCATGTGAAAATGGAGGTACTTGTTTTATAACAAATTCAGCAACGACTAAAGTAACATATAAAAATGATTATTAAATTTTCTATTCCAAAACAAAAAAAAATATTATCATATATACTTTTAAAATAGGGTATTTGTGTTTGTCGTGAAGGATATATTGGTGATTATTGTGAAATTTTATATAATCGTACATTAAGTGGTATTCGAGAATATAATAGTTATTGTTTAACAAATCCATGTTTGAACGATGGTACATGCGTTGAAAATGGACAATTCAATGGTTATTGTCGATGTAAACCAGAATATCGAGGTACTTATTGTGAAATAATTGTACGATCATTTGGTTGTAATCCAAATCCTTGGTAAAAAAAAAACAACAACAACAACATAAAAGAAAGATTTGAAATGAAAAAAAATTTTTTCTTTTGTAGTAAAAATGGTGGAACTTGTGTTTTATTAGAAAATAATCAAGGTAGGAAAAAAAAAGAAAACTAAAAATTATATTTGATGTTGATATTTTTTTTTTTTTTTTTCGAATAATTTTAGCTCAATGTTTATGTACAGCAGTATTTCGTGGTGCAACATGTAATCAATTTAGTTATATACCTTGTGGAGAAGCTACTTGTCATGGTACACAGGTAATTTAGTATTATTCATTTTTTTGTTTTGATGAAATTTATTTAAAAATTTAGGGTTTATGTTTGGATAATAGATGTGTTTGTAAAACAGGCTTTGCTGGACCAAGATGTGATTCAACAGATTTTTGTTCAGCTTATCCTTGTCTGAATGGAGGTAAGATTTTGAAAATATTTTCGATATATCTATAGATAGTTTTAGAAACAAAATAAAAAAGAGTTTTCTTATCGACTTTTACGTATTAGTTAAGTGAGAAGGAGTTAGATGAAAAAATATTTTTTTTATGAATTATTAGAATATGATGAACTCTAAAAGAGGATTCTTTTTTATTGAGAATTTATTTAAGATATGAAAGTTTCAAAATACAAGGATTTTTCATATTTTGTGGAATACTCATCTGGATTCACATCCTCACTATATCTTATCAATTGGCTCAGTGTCATATTAATTTCAATAATTGACTGTTTATATTTTTCATTTTTCACACGATTAATCTTAAATATCATAACTGATAGACACATTAGAGATGACTCATCATAGTTCTATCATGATATTCAAATCTTAATAAAAAATATTCTAGTGGTTCTCTATTTATGTATGAAGTATAAGTTTAGAGACTTGTAGAACTTTTTGTATGCATCAAATCCCTTTGGATCGTTTTTTTCCCTAAATAAAGTAAAATGCCTTTATCTATTGAATCATGTGACATAAAGATTTCTTTCCATTGGTATAAAAAAAAGAACCTAAATCCAATGAGTTTGGATTATTATTCAATTTCTTTTGAATCATTCATGGATCTACTCGTTATCGATTATTTTCCAAACTTTATATTTAGGTACATGTGTTCGAACGAATGATGAACCTTATGGTGGTTGTAGTTGTCCATCTGAATATTCAGGTCCAACATGTAGTAATGATCCATGTAGTCCATCACCCTGCTTAAATGGAGCTCATTGTATACGAAAACCAGATAATCAATTTTATTGTCAATGTCGTAATAGAAATAAGGGTGTTTATTGTGAACGTAAGTGTATTTTTTGTTTTGTTTTGTGAATATATATATATATTTAATTATTTAGAACAAGAATGTTTTCCATCGGATGCAACAGTTGATGTTCTTGATGTTGGTAAAGTTCGATTATCATCATTAAATATTGGTGATCAAGTTCGAATTATTAATGATCATAATCAAATAATATATTCACCAGTTATTGCTTTTCTTCATCGTGAACTTGATGAACATACTTCATATAAACGTATTCGTACTAAAAATACAATGATTGAATTATCAGATCGTCATTTAATTCATCATCGTAATGATGGTTTTATTTGGGCTGAAAATTTAATAAAAGGTGATGAAATACTTGTTTCATCATCGAAAAATACAAATAAAACTAATTGGGAAAAAATTATTGATATAACTGAAGTTAATAAACAAGGTCTTATAGCTCCATTAACTGAACAAGGAACAATTATTGTTAATAATGTTCATGTTTCATGTTATGCACTTGTTAAATCTCATACAATTGGTCATTTTGCTTTAGCACCTTATCGATGGTATCATCGATTATTTGGAAAAATGTCAGATAATAATAATAATAATACATCACCTATACTTACTTATGCTAATATACTTCTTCAATTTTTTAAGAATTTACCTATTGCAAAAGACATTATTTTTTAATTTTTATTTGATATATATGTAGTATAAACGTAGACATTGCTCGATGTTTATTAATTTCTTTTTCTTTTTCTTTTTTTTTTCGTTTTCTTTTTATTAGATCAATTTAATTTATTTCAGAATAAAGTTTATTTGAAGATTTTTTTTGTTTTTGAAAATATAATATTCATTTCGTGATATTTTTAAACAAAATCATATATTATTATATAAAATAATTTTTAGTTAATTAAAGAAACAATTCTTAGTTAGTATTACGCGTCAACTATAATGATTATTCTATATCCTATAAGAACTAAATACACTAACACGCGTACAGCATGTTACGTACACGTGTCAAGGACTTTCGGTTGACAAGAATATATTATCTAGTTCTTCTATAGTAACAACTGCAATCATCGAGTTCCATTCATTGATAAATTAACAAAATAGTAAATTTTGTTTCAATATTAAATAATAATTCGAACAAAATACTAAATAATCCTATAATTTATATAAATCAACAAAAAAAAATATTTTTAGATCTTAACAACAGACGGAAATAATCATCGGTACTCATTCATCAGTAGTATCTATGAATAATCATATAGTATAACGTAAGGATGTGTAAATGTCGTTTAGTCCAATGATTTTCTTACATTAGTAATTATCAAGAAATTTCATTTTAGTCAGTTGTTTATTTTTGTTTCATATTATGCAATATTTATATTTTCTTTCTACTCGTCGATCTCTTAATGAGTAAAAAAAAAACAAACAAACAAAATATTTCATTATTGATAATTTCTTACATAATAAAAATAGATTAATGTCAGAAGAAGAATATGCATCTGTCCTTCAGATAGAACAACTTCCTCTTCTAGATATCAGAAGAATCATACGGTTCAAGGAAGAACAATAATCGATATAAAGAAAAGATGTAATCTCCACAACTGTTTATCGTTTTGTTAGTTTTTTTGCTTTAACCAACTCAAAATCACGTGTTCCAAATCTCGTTTCATTTTCATTTTAAAAATGTTTCGGACTCGCTCGAGACCGATCGAAAAATTTTGTAATCGATGGACTCTACTTGCCGGATGACATAAACGAGATTTTTTTAAGATTCAAAACTCTAGATATAATTCATTTCTAAATATCTCAATTTATATTTCTTAATAATAAATAGGATTTGGATGATTATTCAATACATGAAGTGTGAATTATATATTAAAGAAGGACTCAATGATCAAGATAAAAATTTTGAAAGTGGTTTTTTTTTCAACATTCTTACTACTTTTCTT